CTCCTTTGGAGGGTAAAAAGGAGTGGCGACCGGGACATATCAAGAGAAGCGGGACCGAATGACGCTAATAAGCTTCGAGTCCGGCTACAACCTAAGTATCGTATTTCACTACTGCGCATGCATAAGTATCATACTTTATTACTGCGCATGCGTAAGTATCGTACTAACCAGGGAATGGAAAGTTACTTTTTAAAAGTAACAAGTTACCGTTACTAGTTACCGATTTTTAAAAGTAACTCGTTACAGTTACCGTTACTTGAGAAAGTAACTTTTCGTTACTTTTCCGTTACTTTTTTTTAAATCGACGACCAACAATCATAGCGGACGAGCCTAGAGGCTTCTCTAATCTCAAGCGCATTGTAAAAAATTGTGTAAAATTATAACCATTATGCTGGATAATTTTGAGATCAACTATAATAGTTGTAAACGTCCACACATTTGTAAATTTGCAATATGCAAATAAAAATAATTTCTTGGTTTGAAACTAAGCAGATTGTGGAAGTACAATTACAATGTGTATATGTGTAGCTACAAGAACGATAATATGACAATATATTTCGCACTATATATTATTACAGTTAACAACAATACGCGAAAAATTTCTTTTATGTTACGTAATATTACTAAAATTTGGATAATTACAGAAAATATTCAAAATATCCTGCTATAATTTCCAATATAAAATAAGATATATTTACACAATAAAAACAAATTTACATAATTTTTGTGGAATTACTGTAATTTCTGTAAAATTGCATGATTTTTTATATTTACAGAACTAATCATGTAATCTATTTTATATTTATTATATGTGTAAATTTACGAAATTTTTTTACAGTGTAAGTGGCTTGTGTCGTATCGTGTCCAATCATGTGCAAAGTAACGATAAACGTAACTGTAAAATTCGTTACCGTTACAGTTACCAAAGAAAAAAAGTAACGCAGTTACTAGTAAAGTTACCAAAAAAGTAACTTGTAACTGTAACTTCGTTACAAGTAACGAGTTACTTCCATTCCCTGGTACTAACCAATAACTTAAACCATAACCCAACACAACTCATAATCCAAAACGAGCCCACAACGATAATCGGATCAATAACCATAACCCAACCCATAACCCATATCCAAGTAAAGACGGCGACTCCATAATGATTGCGAAAAAAAACAATGAATATTATAAATCCTTAGTACGTACATATCTCATGAATATTTTGAATATCTGTCTCATAAATACATACTTTGTTTAGTTGTTACATCAATTTGATTTTTTATAGTTATAAAGTACGATTCAATAATTCTTCGATTCTTCTCTTTTTTTATAAGTTTGTAAGATTTCGATTAACATTGCATTATCTACATTTTGTTAAGGTGAAGAACAGCTCTAAAACAGTCTCATAAATATTTAATTCAATTTTTAGATCAATTTGATTTTTTTATGGATTTAGATTTTGGAAAATCAAAAAAAGTAAATTAATAATACAATTTAAGTTATTTTTCCATTTTTCTCTTTTTTATAAGTCTTTAAGATTTTGATTATCATTTCGTAATCTAAATTTCGTAAAGGTGACGAACAAAATATTTTTAACAAAAAAAGTGAATTAATAATACAGTTTCAGTTATTCCAAGACAAACATTGCTTAACACCGTACGCCATTTCCAAAGGCGTTTGATTTTATGCCTTCAAGCAAATGGAGGCAACTTCGAACATTTGCTTCGAAGTTAAATTAATAATTTTTAAAATAGTGAGAGGCGAGGGGACTCTCTTTAATCCAGCACCCCGAATAGTGAGAGGCGAAGGGACTCACTTTAATCCAGCACCCGGAATAATGAGAGGCGAGGGGACTCACTTTAATCCAGCACCCCAAAGGAAACAGTATTTACTACGTCCACGTCATTGTTTCTGGGTAGCACTAAAAGTAAAGTTAATACAGTTAAAGAAACCCTCGAAAGTAGTGATTCCCATTTCGAAAAATCACTATGACCTTGAAATAATCTTAAAAATCGAGTTCAAGGTCAAGATCAGAGTACAGATAGGTGACCCCCTCGGCCCTCTTTAACATTTATCTGAACCAATTTTACGTATTTGGCTTAGGTTCCGGAAAATGTAAGCGGGGAGTTTAAATTCGCAAATTTGACCTTCGTTCGACCTTGCCATGACCTTGATAAATATATCATTTTGAACGTAAAATTTTCCGCTCTTTTCAAATCCGGGGTCAAAAATAGGTGTTCCTATTAAAAAAAATCACTTTGACCTTGAAATAACCTTGAAAATCGAGTTTAAGGTCAAGGTCCTTGGTACCATTAGGTGACCCCCTCTGTCCCCTTCTACTTTTGTCTGGACCATTTTTCTCTATCTGGCTTAGATTCCGAGAAATTCAGGTGGGGAGATTAAAATGGCCCACCGTGTATATATATATCGGGTATCCCATTTTAAATGACCATTTTAAAATATCTCTTAAACAGTGCATTTTAGAGAAAAATGTTTTAAATGAAAGTGGAACGGTTTCGAGGGCGATGTACTTTGGTCACGTTGTTTTTTTCCAAGTGGAAATGTCAAAAAGATATAAAGGTCACCTTCACTTTTTTAAATGAAATTATATGATTTTTTGCACAATATAATTCCTCTAATTATTCGAGATATAAAAATATCAAGGTAGATATCTAAAAGTCAATAGCTTTTGAGTTTGTCTTATACTTTATTCTGATACATCATGAAATATTACATATCTCGTAAGCTATTAAGTTTTTGATAATTGTACCTTAACACTTTTTGGCACAGAATATTAATTGAGATGAATCAAATTGGTGTAAAGAATACATCTATTCTTCAAAGATACCAGAAGGTTTGCGGGTTAACACCGTGTTTTTATCCACTGCTAATGCCAACGTTTCGTGAACCTTGAAAGAATACATATATTCTATTAAAATACCTTTTCTTAGGACAAATCAAACTGAACGACGTGGATGAATAGGTGTATTCCTTACAATTGATTTATCTCAATATTTTATGTATAAAAGTTAGTATTAAGGTATAATTATCAAAAAGTTAATAGTTTACGAGACATTTAATATTTCATGTCCAAATGTATCAGCATAAAATATAAGTAACTCGAAATTAAAACTAATGATTTTTCGATATCTCTATACTTTAATACTTTTATATGTGAGAATTAGAAGATTCATACCTTTATATATAAAATTAGAAAAATCATATTGTGTATAAAGAGATCATATAATCTCATTTAAAAGATAAAGGTGACCTTCATATTTTTTGGGGATCTCCACTTAAAAAAAAAACAACTCTTTCCAAAATACCTCTTTCGAAATCATTCCACTTTTATTTGAAACATTCTTCTCTAAAATGCACTGTTTAAGAAATATTTTGAAACTGTTTTTTTAAATTACACCTTGTATATACGTGAACACACATACACGCGCGCGCGCGCGCGCACGTGTATATTATCCATTATATATATATATATATACACACATCTGTCAGTAATAATATAATATCAATAATATATACACGGAAACCCAATTTTTAAAAAATGGCTTGAATCTGAACCTTCCAGAATTTGTAGCGTAAAAACTAGCCATAAGAGTAAGTTGGTCAGATGAAGATTTGGTTCAGAATGATGAGAACTACAACATATCCAAAATTTGGCATATTCGACAGAAAATCAATTTCCATAAGTTGGTGCGTCGTCTTTTATTCTGCATTGTAGATAGAGAAAAAAATTTATTATATATAATTAATATAAAATTAACATAGGAAAATATAGCGATATATGATCTACTTTTTTATTGTAATATTAAAAATTAATTTTAAAAATTATCAACCATCGTGCAACTATTTCTCATTCCTATAGGAATGAGAAATAGTTGATGTCACAACCAGTTATAACTGGTTGTGACATCAACTCCGGAGTTATCCGTAATCGTCGAATTTAATCCTGTGAAGACGTGTACACGTTATGTTAATGAATTAATGAGTTACTTACAGGTGCAGCATACCGATTTTCCGATTTTTACGGTTTTTAGAAATAATTAAATTTTAATGAAGAGTTTCACGAATATTCTCCGTAGCTGACAGGATACGTAACCGCTTCTCAATCGTCAACTGACCTCCGGGAGCAAGGCACGTTATCTTTTATGGAACTTTCCCACTTCGCAGACAATATCTGATCAAGCTCCTGCGTTCTCTGATAAATTCGAATACAATTTTGTCACTCGACTCCTCTGCTCGTTCCGTTTTGTAAATTTATATTTCAAAGTTTCAATCTAATCGGTCACAGTTCCACAATTCCACAATTTTCATGCTCTTCAGTCAAATGTTTTAGAGATTAGAATACTTATAGTTTTTTTATTGCTACGAATATTAGCAGTTCTTTATTGAATATATTACTTTATTATTATATTATTATCACACGGAAAGAAATCTGTTACGATTTTGGCACGAACAGTCGATACTGCTATCGCGTGGCCTATTTCAATGCGCTAATAGCACCATCGTTCAATTTGTTTATGCATGAAGTCGTGCAATCATGGCACGAGAATCGCTATGAAAAAAAAGAATGTGATGCGTGCTATGGTCGTACCAGCTTTTTACGATAGCCGCACGAGCGCAGTACGCATAAAACACCCCACTTGACCATGCGAAATTCGCTCGAAACCCGTGCAATTTTGGCATGGCTTATCGGTTTGACCGTCAAATTTCTAAACCACGCCTTCTATGATGCATTGTGTGTTAAAAATTAAACATTTATGTGAAAAATGTTGCAGCAATAGTAAATATATTAATGCAAGTATTTGATGATTTATTTAAATTATAAAATTTGTTTCCTGAGTAATTTTTTAATTATCACATTCTTACAGAAGATTACAAAGATCCTGGTGGAAAAATTTTGCTGAAATTTGTGTGACATTTCGCCGAAATTATAAGTTTTGAAATACATTTCAGTGAAATTTCAAATACGTAATTTCAAAAATACGTATAATGTAATACTTATAATGTAATATGATAAAGTAATAATAGAAATAAAAACAAATAAGTTACACGGTCTGTTAATAACAAAATTTATATAAAATTTATATTTATGTAAATAAATTTTGTTATTAACAGACTGTGTAACTTATTTGTTTTTATTTCTATTATTACTTTATCATATTACATTATAAGTATTACATTATACGTATTTTTGAAATTACGTA